TTTATATAAACGTCTGTTAAGTCATTTTCGCCAATTGAGATAAAATAATGATCAACCCTTGCATTTAAAGTGTTATAAATTGGATTTGTGTGGCGACATTCCAAGGACGAATCACAAGCAGCGTACACTGTTAGGATCCAAATAGATCCAAATTGTACAGCTTAGACTGTTAGGAATTTCATTAGTTTTGCTGGTGATAAAAGTATTGGACTATAGTAAAACAATTAAAATGTATAATTTTCACAAGTCAGAAGGAAAAACAAGGCTCATTTAATGGGCTTTAGATGTGTTGGATGTATCGTATATTTCATATGCCTCTTCTTCTTATTGCCTTATAGATTCAGAGATTGTGCCTGTGTTGTTGGAGATTTTGGGCAAATTTGGCATGACATCTGCATTTTGTGTGGTGTACACGTTCTCATCGGAGCTCTTCCCCACCGTCATCAGAAACACAGCAATGGGCTGCTGTTCCATGGCAGCTCGCATTGGAAGCATCGTCTCCCCTTTTATCATTTACCTGGGTAAGTAATACGTTTTATATTTTGAGCACTTAGCAAGTCTGAGGGCATGTCTTTCTGATCAATTCAGTTTATTATTATTTTCTTATTTCTGTAGTGTAGAGCTGCAGCTGTTGTACAGTTGAAGAGTTGATTTGTCCAGCCACTAAGAATTAATCGATATTCAAACAATTGATTCTGCCTTTTTGAAGCAAAAAGCCAAATATTTGCTGGTTCAATCTTCTCAAATGTGACATTTTTTATGACATATAGCCTAGAAAGCGTAAGATGAACATCTGAAGCTGAAGGTATACGGTATACTTACTTTTTTAATTAAAAGTAAAGAAAAATAAAATATGTTTTTCTCTAGCTTTAAGGATTTAATCAGACAGAATAAGCAAACCAAAGGCATTTTTGTAGCCTACTGTGAATCACTATTGTTCACTTTTTTAATATTTCATTAAAAAAAAAAAAAGCTTTAAAAATCGACATCTTTAATTGAAGCCCTACTGCATTAAGAACGCCCTTGGTCTCTTGTCTTTACTTCAAGCTTTAGTTTGCTGAAAATGTGCTGAAACAAGTTTTTTTCTTTTTATTCTCTCAAAAATAATTCAGAAAGCATAGAACCGTTGTTGTTTTTTTCATCTCAATTACACTACACACAGTCGTACAAGTAATTATATTTGTTTAATGAGTCATTCCTTGCCTTTATTGTGGTATTTTCTGCTTTTTTGCAGGACAATACAACAAGGCATTACCATACATATTGATGGGTGGGTTTGCCCTTTGTGGGGCCCTCTTATGTTTCCTGCTGCCAGAAACTTTTGGAAAGCCTTTACCAGAAACCATGGCACAAATGCAGCCGATATGCGGGTGAGCATACACTACAGCAAGTTGCACTACTCATATACTGCATGTCTACTCGTCACAGTGTTTCTTTATACACGTCTCTACTACAGATGTAGTTCCAAGTCCTCTTGATCACATTAAGATTCTGTATCATCATAGTTAAGGGGAAACTCTTTATACCACTCTCACTGATTCATAATAATAATAATAATAGATTTATTTTGTTAGCGCTTTTACAGGTGCTCAAAGACGCTTTACAGATATAGTGAAAAGAAAAGAACAACAAATAAATATATATAGTTAAAGTCAAATTAAAATCAAGCAATACAAAAACAATCACACATTAAAAGCCAGATTGAAGAGGTGAGTTTTTGTAAGTTTTTTTAAGGTGGTGAGGTCAGTGCAGTTGGCTTCTGATGAGCGGAGGCAGCGGGAAGGGGTGTGGTGGTGCAGCAGGTCTGTGAGGTAGGGGGGGGGGGGGGGCTGGTTGTTGAGGGCTTTGTGAGTAATGAGGAGGACTTTGAAGTCGATTCTTTGTCGGACGGGGAGCCAGTGGAGGTTCTGGAGAACGGGAGTGATGTGGTCTCGGGAGCGGGTGTGGGTGAGGAGGCGGGCAGCATTGTTCTGGATATGTTGGAGTTTATTGATCAGGTTGGATGGTATGCCGTAGAGCAACTGGTGGTTCACGACCCAAAAGTGGGTCGCGGACCCGTTTCGAGTGGGTCGCAGATGTGTGAGTGAAGAAAAAAAAAATTATTAAACTATTTTTTTGTTTTTTTTGTTTTGGGGAAAATGTCACATTTTTATTTTGAAAGCCCGATTTTCTAACACTGTGCATGCAGCAGGCGTTGGACTGGAAGTACCGGAGACCTTAAACGGTTCTGAAAACTTCTGTCACGTAGTGATCATCTTCTCAATAAAACATCTTTGCTGATGTTTTTTCGAGTCTTCTGGCCAATCAGAATCAAGATTGTTGCCGGAAGTCAACTATTCTTTATACATCCATGGGTACAACTTCAGATACAAATGAACACATAATGAAATATGACCCCCGGTATGATGATTACAGCTCACAGAACAATGGGGGCTATCTACCCTACTCACAATTTAAAGTAATTCACACAACAAAGTGAAAAACAAACAATGGCATAAAATATTATTAATATGTCGGGTAGTAATAGATTTATTTATTTTCTTCTCAGAGTGTACCAGAATGTGTAGTTTATATGTTAGTATTTCTAAAGATCTCCCCCAGAGCCCCTTCTGGGGTTGGGTTTTCAGCATGTCTGCCTTTTTATGTTACACAGTTCAGCTTTGATTCCATCATCTCGTCAAACCTTCATTAAAAGCATACTTTAGTTCTGTGAAGGGATATACAGTAAGGGATATATGCACTGTACTTCACTTTAATTAATATTGTATGCTGAAAAGCGTATATATTACAGCATTACAGCTGTTGAATAGATTTGAGTGGTTCAAATTTCGGGTCGCGATTTATTGATAAAGGAAAAAGTGGGTCCCGAGGCCTGACCAGTTGAGAACCACTGCCGTAGAGGATGCTATTGCAGTAGTCGAGTCGTGATGTGATGAATGCATGAATCAGGGTTTCAGCAGCAGAGGAGGAGAGTGATGGGCGGAGACGGGTAATGTTTTTGAGGTGGAAAAAGGCAGTCCTGGTGATGTGATGATTGAATTTGAGCTGACTGTCGAAGATGACTCCGAGGTTGCGGATGTGAGGGGGGGGGGGGGGGATAGAGTGTTGCTGTCAATGGTGAAGTTGACATTCTGGATGGTTTTGGTATGGGATGGGGGGCCGATGATGATGTCTGATTTGGCACTGTTCAGTTGGAGATAGTTTGTTTGGATCCATGCTTTTATTTCTGAGAGACAGTTGGTGAGAGTGGAGTGTGTTGTGGGGATGATGGTTTTTGTTGAGATATAAAGTTGGATGTCATCGGCGTAGCAGTGAAATTGAAGGTTGTGGTGACTAATTATTTTGCCAAGGGGGAGCATGTAGAGGATGAAGAGGAGGGGGCCAAGCACCGAACCCTGGGGGACGCCTTAGGACAGAGGAGCAGTGGAGAAGGTGCAGTTATTGATGTTGATAAACTGATGTCTGTCGGTGAGGTAGGATTTCAGCAGGAGAGTGCAGTGTCGGTGATGTTGAGTGATGATTCGAGGAGGGACAGCAGGATGGTGTGGTTGATGGTGTCGAATGCTGCGGTGAGGTCGAGGAGGATGAGGATGTTCAGGTTGCCGGAGTCAGAGGAGACGAGGAGGTCGTTTGTGATTTTGAGAAGAGCTGATTCGGTGCTGTGTTTTGATCGGAAACTGGATTGAAATGACTCAAAGTGGTCATTGGAGCTGAGGGGGGATTTTAGTTGTGAGGCAATGACACGTTCACGTATTTGTTTTGATTGCTTTTATCTTCAATGAAGAGCAAATAGACGTCGAAATTGGTTACTATATTGCTGTTATTTATATTTTCATGTTACAGTATAAGATGCATGTTGCACGTTTGAAAGCTTTGTGCTCTTTCACATGAAGCACAAGACTGTTTGTAGTGTCAGGAGAAATGTAAAGTCCAACATGACCTTTAATAGCACTGCTGTTAAACTGTTGCTAAATCTTCTGTTTATGTTTAAACAGGGGAAGACGGAAGAAAGCAAAGGAAGATGAAAATGGAGAGAGCGCGACTGATTATCAGAATAAAGAATCCAGGTTATAGTTGTGATTTGTATTTGTATTTTTCTTTATACTCACATGATTGCTCAATAAGATGTTGTTTTAAATAAAGTTACTTTTATCATTTATTGTGTGTAATTCTGTTTGATATATTATTGTATGAAATGTCCACCTAACTTATTGTGAAGCACGATGTCAAGCCATTTTTATAAATTGAACATTTTGACACATGAAATTGAAGACTGCATGTTTATATGTATTATAATTAAGATTGAGGAGCTTTGTTGTGTTTGTGAAAGCATTCTCTTCAAATAGCCTTTATAAATGGTTAAGTATCAGATCACTGCATGGGAATCCATCATAACAAGATTCAATGAGACATAAAGATAATGCATGTTTTAGCACAGATGTTGCAGTCATGAAACATGTGTAGTCATCTCATTCATTCAGGTAGATTGATGCCAAGTCAAATATAATACATTAGTCTTTAATTATATGACATCTCCTCTTGTTTATCAGCAAAAATCCAGTGGACACACATGTTTAACACCGGAGAGCCTATTTTGTGACTGCTGGTATTTATTCTTACAGCTTCCCCAAAAAATATGTGTTTTCACATTTACATTTCCATTTAAAATGATGTAAAATAACATACACAAATTGCTAGAAAGTACAATCATACTTTTATCAGTGCATCACCAGAGGCTGTTTTATAAAAGTAACGCTTAAGCTAATATAACAGCCATTTAACAGTAAACTGGCGGCACCATGCTTTCACTTTTAAATGTTTTCATTCTATATTTTAATACAAATATCTGAATGAAAATAAAAACCTTTTGGTGTATCTCGCACTATCCTTTTTATTATATCTACACTATGCTTTAAATAGATAGGGGAAACACCATAAAGACGTGTCATCTGTTTCCGTGGAAGTTACACAGTCATTTCACTTTCAGTTCAGTGTAAACAGGACGCTTAGACATTTAAAAAGCGCTGTGCATTATTTTTTTACAATTGAATATAAGACAATCCGTGTATTTTTTTGTAAAATGTTTAGTGGCACCGTCCACTGTGGAGTGAAGGGGATGTTGGTAACCGGACCTCAGCCTGGCTCAGCTGCTCTGAATAACGTTGCCAATTTCGCCTGAAGGCTTGACTAAAGTAAAAATGAAAGCAGTGTAGCACCAACCGCTGCTTCTTTGTTCCAGTTGAGTTATCCAACGTGTACCTCATTTCTAGATGGATCTTCCTTCAAAGCATCACCTCCATATGGAATAATGCGATGGCTGCTTAACTAAAGGTGAGTTTTCTGTTCTTTATTTAATCTAAAGTGTGAAAATTTGCCTTGTTGCCATATGGAAATATTTCATGTGTTATGATGTTTACAAAAAGCAAATAGCCTAATTCAATGTGATGTAAAAGGCATAGCAACACTGCATTGATAAACAATAGTGTTTACTGTTTACTATACACTTCTTGAGTTTTTCTATTTCCTTCTCTTTTCAACAAAATCATGTGTAAATGAGAAAGTGAAAGCGAGGAACGAAAACCAGATTATATGACAATGATTTACAGCATCAGCTGCATCATCATCTGTTTTATTTAAATGTTCTTTCTCTGTGACGACCCCTGCCTTGCTATCTCCTGTTGTGTGTGTGTGGCCCTTTAATGTTCTCCCTCTGTTGTGTCAGCGCTGATTGAGGACACCACACAATTACCCTGCAGAGCTGAATAAGAGTCATGGTTAACAGACAGGAAAGTCATCTTCTAAACTAGGGCAGTGACTTTTGAACTACTTTGAACCCTACCGGCCTTTCATATAACAGGATTGCGAACCTTTGTTCCAAACAAGTATCACCACCATACTGTATATCATAAACGAAGATTGACTTGATGACTTGACGTTCCCACAGAAAAAGCCCGCCAAATATAAAATAGAAGGTAACTTGTGAAGCGATTTGAGTTACATCATACGGATGCTTGAGCTTTAGGTATGCATTCGTCTTGTTCCTTGGAATATGTTTTGATGTTTAATGCCTCTGTTATCATCAGTTACCAGACAATATGTGTACTGTATCACAGTAAGGCATCTTACTCATTGTTATAACTCAACAATTAATTATAACTTCATTGTTGAGTTATAAGGCGCGTTCACACCGCAGTAAGGGGCAGTACCACTTTAGTTCATGAGTACTTAGTTCATGAGAACTCTTTAGTTCTCATGAACTAAGTACAGCTCGCGTCCACACCGGAATAAGTTCCTGGGGAAGGATTAGGCAAATGAAGCCGCTGACGTCATGCTTCTTCTTCTTCTGCTTTGGGTTTACTGGCAGGCCGCAAACAACTTCACGGCGTATACTGCCACCCGAAGTCCCCGGCCGGAAGTCCCCGGAGTTGGGGACTGGCTTCAGTAGAAGCTGCTGGGAGTCCCATAGCTTCTACTGAAGCCTTCCGAGTATATCGCCAGAACGCCGAAACCTCCTCATCTCCACCGCTCCCATGTTTTATTTTGTGTTGCCATAAGTTAGTCTCTCTGCGTTGGGCTAATGCTAATGCTAATAATGCTAATGCGAGGATAATAAAATGGCGGCTTCACAAAACTTTTTGGGAGTTTTACGGGGCGTGGTTTGCATTCCGCCCAGCCAATCAGACATAGGAACCTTTTTCTCCCACGAAAGTACCTGCTCTCTAGCAGGGACGGAAAAGGGGGTAAAAAGGTTCTGATGAACTAATTTGAGTTCCGGCTCTTTTTGGTGTGAACGTGACATTTTGGAACTATATCGGAACTAAAGTGGGAAAAGTACTGCGGTGTGAACGCGGCTATTGCTATCAAAAGCAAGTTGGAAATTATTTTTCCTTTGCAATATGTTTTCTATGGGGTATAGTGGTTGATATAGTGGTAAATCACGTGACTTACGAAAAGTCATTGAATGCAGTTTATCATCTGGCCATAGGGTGGTGCTGCTGGCAGGGGATGCTGATGCATTTCTAATAAACCGGCCTTGAGCTAGGAAATCTTCTTGGTTTCTAACCTCCACCATCCCTCCCTGCCTTTGCAGTTGCCGCTTTGAAAGAAACTACTGTAACTTTGCTTTTTCTGTCAATAGGGTCAGCAATTCAAAAGTTAATCAGTATCAAACCCTGATTGTCTAACAGCACCAGGCACCAGAAAGTAAGCAGTCACTACCTGGTTCAATCAATCAATCAGAATGCTTAATTTATTCCGGGGAGAAATTATGTTTTATTACAGGTGCACCATATTGGACTAAAGTCAATAACTATTTATACAAACATAGGAAGTAAGAGTAAAAAAGTGCAATGAAAGTAGCACTGGGATGCGGTGTCTTAAGCACAGGAACAAGGTAGAGCGTCCTCCACAGCACAGAGACCCTCTGATCACTCAGGCTCATGGTGAAGACGTGGTGAAGCTCGATGGAAATGTTCTCATTAGATATATCCTGGTACAGCCATGTTCTCATTATCAAAGTAAACTGCACTCCAAATATTACATCTGTCTCCAGGCTAACGCTGTTAGCTCGTCGATTTTACCAGCCAGTAATTTTTACATTACATGATGAGAGGGGGAGACATACATCTGGACCCGGCTGTCCTTCTTTTTCCTCATTGAGAGATTTTCTTCAGAGTGGGATCACACCAGCAATGATGCCAAATGAAGAAAGGGATTTATGGGTCACTTCCCTCCCACTTACTTCTCGTGCCATCACTTAGAACTTAAAACCATAATTATTGATATTAACAGATATATATATATAGAGAGAGAGAGAGAGAGAGAGAGAGAGAGAGAGAGAGAGAGAGAGAGAGAGAGAGAGAGAGAGAGAGAGAGAGAGAGAGAGAGAGAGAGAGAGAGTTCATTTTTAAGAAGGCTTTGTAAGTGGAATAATTGCTAAGAGAAAGAGGAGGACTTGAATAAAGCTTTGGAGTCACTCAAGCAAAGGAGAACATTTGATAAAAAAAACACTCACATTCTGTTGTTAATCTATCCATTTCTTACGTTTCAGCTTTATCAGAGCTGGCTGTCGCTCTGCAAATGCTGGGTAAACTTGTTATCACCAACAGTACATCCCTGATGCACGCCTACACTGCAGAGCTTTACCCAACAGTGCTCAGGAACACAGCGACAGGCGTTTGCATTACTGTTTCCAGAATAGGAAGCTGCCTTGCTCCTTTTTTGTTAAGCTGAGTGAGTCGATTTGTCTTCAATATCAGGTACTATCTAGTTTAACCTGAATTTGTGTAGCACATCAACACATTTCTGTGGATAATCAGCCCCTATTTGTTGTTTGGATGCTCTGTACACACTTTTATTTTCCCCTTCTCCTTGTACAGGTGAATATTTTGAGTACCTGCCTTATATCACACTGGGGACTCTGGCTGTTGTTTCTGCCTTTTCTGTTATTTTCCTGGCAGAGAGTTTTGGACAACCTCAAACTATTCAACAGATGCAAAAAAGAGAAAGGTGGGTAGCTTATGGGGTAAAAGATGCAGTCACCGTAGCTGAAACAAACAAGAAGGTATTGTACCAGAACAACCACAGAACTTCCTGATACTGGATGTTCAGACAAGATAATGGCAACAAAAACTGCAACAAAACATCTCATATTATTCTTTAATATAGCCACCAAAACCAACCCCTCCTTATCCTCATCATCCACATGACTCTTGAGAGGATATGATGACTTTTTATAGTTTACGTACATGTTTATGAGGTTAAAAATTGAATTAGTAGAAATTAAACAATATTCAAACATTTCCTTTTTGCTGACAACCAAATAATGGTTTCTTTATTTGCATTTTATCCCAACAGCTTGAAGTGCCCGTGCATAACAAGAAAACAACATTCATAACTTGCTGTGCTTGACGAAAGTCGATTGATTGTCTTAAAAATTGCTTATATAAACATTGTACTATTAATTGTATATAATTCATACCAGTTACTGTTGTTCCTAATCAACATTACCTTCTGGTAAATGCAATCTGTATTAATCGATTTAATTACATTTTTTATGAGGAATAACATTGAAGTAATTAAAGCTCGACCAATACATTTTGGAGTATTTGTACATGCACTTTATGAATGTTATCACAAATCACATAGATGTATACAACACATTAACATGGATGTGCTTTGCAACATGAGTGTTTGGTGCTAATTCTAAATTAATTAATACAAAATAAAAAAAACACACAATTGTGTTGTTTGAATAACTGTCAAGGTCCATGGTGCAGTTGAAGTCAAATGCTTTCACAAATCTAGTGACATAAATGATTATTATTCTCAGGTATTATAAGTGGAAGGAGATAAGATGGTTATCCAGTTTTTGCTTCAGGCAGATAACAGTGAGGCTCCTTGTTCAAGGGAAAACTGGAGACTTCCCTTCTGCAACCTTTTCCTTTTCTTCGGTGTTTGTGAGTTTATAGGGTTTCTTCTTACAACATCTAGGATTAATAAAGAAAACATTGATTCAGATGCGGTAATGGTTCACAGATACTGAACATGACACAAAGTTAAAATATCATTTAAAAAAAACACAATCACTGCCAAGATCTTTGTTTATTTAACCCTTATGTTGTGTTCGGGTCTCCTGTGACCCGTTTCAAGTTAAAATTATATAATAACTACGCTATAGTTTTTTTTATCGGAACAAGGCTTCATGATATCCTCCACAACAGCTATATAAACACTACAACACTGATTTTGACAATTTTAGCCAAGTCTGAAGGTCTTTAAAAAAAAAAGTGTATAATTTGGTTTTCTGGTCTGGGAAGACCCGGCAGAATTGTTTTGGGTGACTCTGGGTCAAATTTGGCCCAATCAAGATTCATCTTTGACTTTAGACACCCCACCCACACCCCCTTCATCCACTGTAACAATATTTTTTTGCAACATGCACCTGGTCTGCCATCCCTCTGGCCCCCTCCCCCCACGGGAACTCGACCTTTCTCAAAGAATATGTACACTAACACTTGAACCTGAACTCAGTCATGCACGTGTGCAATATGTGGTGTAATGTGTTTTGGGGCCATACAATTAAATTACAACATGATTGTACGGTTATGAATGCATAATAAGTTAGTTATGATGTAGTTAAAATAATATTGGATGATAGTCATTATTTTTGAGTGTTTTGGACTGAAATAAATCATGGGTCAAAATTGACCCGCGAACACCATGAACGGTAACAGCTTTCGAACACAACACAAGGGTTAAATCAATCTGTACGTCCATTTTAAAGAGACTAATTTGCTAAGTCTGAGCAATATAATGATAACTATAATATCTATATTATTTGGAAATACATATATTTGCCTTCTGGTATTGATCTTCTCATTAGACTGTCAGAAAATAAAGAAGTGTATTTCATAAAATGTTTAATTGATTCTTCATGTTAAACTGGCTTCGCTATAGTGTGTTATTTGCCTTCATCTGGTTACACATAATTATGGCTGTGGTGAGTATATCATTTTTAGTTTCTGTAATAAATGTCCCTGGTGGGTTGAAGCCGAGTGCAGGAATAAAGCAGGGACAATTATAATTTTGCTAGAATACAGACCTAGACTATTCTGCCTTTTTTCTTTTTTATAAAAGCAATTGATAACGTGAAAAGATCATTCTTGAAGGCACTAGAAAAGGAAATGACCAAGTGGAAGTTATATGGTGGCAATATGAGGACATATCCTAGCCCGCTTTTTTATAATGTTTGCCATCAACTTTTAATCCAACTTAATATGTTAATATATAATCCTCTTTATTATGAATATGATGAATTGTAATTTATTTTTATTTGTAGTAAATTAATTATTTGAACTGTTTTTATTATTTATTTATGGAGGCCATATTTTTTTGTTTTTAGTTTACTTATCTTTTTAATTGTATTTTCTGTCTTTCATTCACATACAAATATATATTTCAGATTTAAAGCATACAGTTAGCCATGTTTCTTTCTTTTGATTTACTTGTAATGCCTGTAGACAAATGACTTTTGAGCCAAGAACATATTTGCTTTTTAAAAAAGAAAATTAGAAAACCAAACCCAGTCAATTTTTATGTTAATTAAAATTAACGTACAAATGATTATTTTTAATAAATAATATCACTGGTTTCTGGGAGATTTGGTGACAGGAAGGTGCAGTTTTACCCGGGGAAGTGTTGCATGTGACTGATGGTGTCAGGCAGAGGCATTCCATAGCTCTCGGGCAGCAGGAGGGTCAGCAACCCGGACGCAACTGTCATGCTTCCCATAAGGATGTAAGGCAGTGAAACGGAATAGCTTCCTGTGGCAGCACATCAAAGAAGGAGACAGTGAAAAACTACCATGGGCCACAGCAATTAAAAACAACAAAAAGACAAAAGGTATAGCGACTGTAAGGATTGTATCTGCATCAGTACTTTAAATCAAATCTTTAAATAGAAGCCTCTAAATTTGAAGTGAAAGAGTTAGGTTTTCAGCATAATGGTCTATCCGATGTGGTTGCTAGGCAAGCCTGTTTTTAGATTCTTTGTTCTTGTGACTTTTGTTCTGTTTTGTTTCAATGGAGGCACCAGCTTGTTCTAACAAGATGTCAGTTGGGTAAGAAACAGCTTTGTGCATCCACATAATTATATGCTTGGGAAAATGTAAGAAGTGTAAAATAAGGCAGAGGTGAGAGCCTCCTTACTTAAGTAAATGAAGTATGGGGCAATGATGCTGCCTATTCTGGAGGCCATGGAGCAGGCCCCCAAGGCCGTATTCCTCAACACTGTTGGGTAGAGTTCAGCTGTGTATGCGTACACAATAGCAAATGCTGTCGTCACCGCACACTTCCCCATCATCTCCAGTGTTATGGAGAGATAAACCAGGTCTAGAGAGGGTAAAGCATTCAATCAGAGGTTACATGTAAGTTGAGTTATATAAGATGCAAATTCAATTATCCGCAATTATGTTTGCTTGCAACTGAGAAAGTAGACACATTTTGCATCTGAAAATACTATATAATGAGTGATCCTACATAGACAAACAAATGAGAAAAAGGCACAAAGCTTTATTAATAAAAAAATGCTTCCTCCAAGGGTCATACTTGCTGGCATGAGCTGTACGGAGAGTAGAAACACTCCTCCCATGAAGAGGGTTGATGAGAGACTCAGTCGTCTGGACCACCAGCGAAACATTACCCAAGACAAAGTGTAGGCTGGTATCTCAACCAAAGCCGACACGAAACAGTTGAAGTAAGCGTTACCGTGAAGGTTTGCCGTGTTTAGGGAAAGAGCAAAGTAAGCAATGGTCAAGGTGTTCCTGTGGGGATACATTTTAAACATTAATATCAAATTAGAATATGTTTTTAGTTAGTAGCTCTCAGGCATGACACAACAGCGTAGTCAGAAAAAAAATTAAACTCATATTATTGGTGTTCCTTTTCTAGAAATTCTCATCTAGTGTTTCGCAAATGTACCACAGCAAATTGGGGCCACTAAATATTACCAACCCATTCCCAGCTTTGATTTATTTTTCAAACGTAATTACAATGGCCCTTATAAGCCATTGTAATACGTTTATAGATTGGTGGTGAATTAAAAGTTGCAGAAGAGTTAAGTGACATTCATATTTGGACAGACAGGATTAATACAGAAAACCTGAACTAAAACATTCATCCTGAATGCTTATGTCGGTACATACAGTAACCGCTACATGACATTGTTGGTTGAAGCTTGTTTCTGCTGCCCCCTACTGGTCAACAATCTATTGTTATTGTAGGTTTGAGTTTAATAAAAAAAAAACTTGAGGTGTGATACAGTCTATGGTGATGACTGATACAAAAACTGAAATGTTAGTTCATGATTCTTATTTGGAATAGAAAGTATTTATTTTAGAAAGAATGTCCATGCATGCAGCTTGTAACTTATCAACCTGCTATGATGAACGGGAGGTTACAACTTATTTCCCGTCAGACTAAGTTAAACTGTTTCTAAATCAAACTGCATCGGTTTTCAGTAAGGAAGTGCGCACAGGATTAATACAGGCATACTGTGCAGTTATGAAACCTGATTTTGATCTGAGTTGCAGGCTTCACAGCACCTGACAGGTCATTATTTGTTGTTAGTTCAATGGACTGTCATTGGGCCTGAACAGTGTATGTGCGTTTGGAACAGCGTGTGTTCAGTATATGTCTGTGTGTGTGTGTATTTGTGCATGCAGGGTCACTGTACTGAATGTGGGGGTCAGCAGGGACTCACCAGACCAGCCACAGCGTGAGGGAGATCCAGCGGATGTTTGGGGAACGGAGCAGGTCACAGATGTTGAGGGCCTTACTCTCGCATTGAAGTTCTTTCTGTGGGGCAGCAGAGCCCTCAGAATAACAAACACTTAGCAAGCAGAGCCATCGCTCTAGAAATAATTTCATTAGAGAGATGCTTGTGTATGAATGGCCACTTGCTGAGTGAACACATGCATGTGCACGCGTTCACACATGTAGTACCCAAAAGTCTGGATCAGGATTAAAGGCTAAAGTTAAATGTGCAATGAAGACTGGGGGGGGGGGGGATTCTTGTAGTAATTAGGAGTAGAGGTAAAGCAAACAGATTTCTCCAGTTTATGTTTAAATTGTAACCTGTCCTATTTGTTATCTCCCCTTAGTCATAATTCTCTAAAAATACAAATCATATAGTGATTGGCAGTGTGATCATATTTCTTAATGTGAGTGTTGTAGTTTTGACAGTTTTTTCTTAGGTTGTCCAGTTCCTAAATTGTTGATAATTAACAACTCAACACAACATCTTTTGAATTACAAAAGTTTTAAGTATTCCAAAAAAGAAAAGAAAAGTGAAACAATCTTTGGGTTCATACCGGCAGAAAATGTTGCTCCATAATGTTTACCGGAAAACTGTAAATGATTACATCACAGGCAGTGAACCATTAAGGATGCTCTAACACTTTTAAGTAAACTCTGCAAGAGTATAGTAAGAGTAAACAAATATGATACTGGCTTATCATATTAGGAAAATGCCCTGTGCCCAGTTTTTATGCATTTACATGAACAGTTTTTTTTCAGTGAGATCTCACCTGCAAAGGACTAAAGATGACCGGCGGAGGCTTGATTTTGTTCTTTTTAGCAGCATCTCTCACTATGGCCTCTGCCTCCTCCACTCTGCCCTGAGACAGCAGCCAGCGAGGAGACTCTGGGATGAACCTGCCTCAGTACACAACAGAGAGAGAGACAGATGTTCAATCCCCCAGAAGAGAGA